AGAGAGGGAGGGAGGGAGGGAGGGAGCGGAGACACGCAAAAGTGCGGTAGGCCCTGAGTCCATGGCCAGACTTCCGCCTGCCTCGCCAGAAGTAGCGAAGCAAATTGCGGAGTATACCGCTCCCATTCTAGTCAGCCTTCTTCTTGGTATCGACGCAGGCCCACTTCCACAGAGGCCGAGAAATCTGCAGAGGAGAACATGTCAGGTATCAAGCTGGAAATGTAAGCACGAAAATCAGACACTTGTTCTGGCAATGGCGCATAATGGCGCATGTTTCGGTTAGACACTTCACGAAGATTTAAAAGACTCCTCAAACTAGAGACGTCAGAATCTGACCCAGTGTGAGCAGCGCCTGCAAAGACATCCCGCAGCTTGGCTGCACGCTTCGTTTTTCGGAGGCTCTCCGACGCTGATCGATCCAAGGTGGCCTCCACGGCTGGCACGACTTCGTCCTTCCCAGAAAACAGGGCACAGCAAAGTTCAGCAAAGCGCTGGAACTGGCTCCTTCCACCAGGTAGCTGAAGCCTGGCGAAACGACACTCTGTCTCTCCTCTCCTCCTTTCATTGCTCTCTGTGAACGGACGTCCTCGTCGTAGTTCAGAAGGATGCGAGCTAAGTAGACAATGAAGTCCACGCTCCATTCTGCGTCTGCCTCACGATCTCAGTGGAAGCCGTCTACAACCTTCGACTTTCTGTGTTTTACCCTCTTCGACTCTTCGACCTAAGAGATGTCGCAGGCGATGCACCTCAATGCGCTCAAAGATCTCAGCCTTGCAGCAAAGCCATACAGACAGCCCAATTGGTTTCAGCGGAGTCTATGCCATGCACTGTTGCCGACCTGTTGCGGAGCTTCGTCCATAGGCAGCCAGGACAGCCTTACAGTACGAACGCCATCAGGAGGTTCCATGCGGCAGTTGTTTGCTGGCGAGGCACGACTTGCCATGTGCTGCCTGGGCTGGACGTTCGAAGGGAAATCCAAACGGGATGAGAGCTGCAAGCCGTGCTGACGCCATGCTGCTGAAGGAGGGCCCAATGCCCCCAGCACTGCCACAGTCACGGCACCACGCCGTGCAAGGGCCCGAAGCTCTTTCGGCTCTCGTTGCCGCATTGGTTCTGCGGGCACCAGGCTTGCATCCTCGCTGCTGGATGGCCCCTCCTCAGAGAAGAAACGACGTGCCATCACTCTTCAACTCGACCTCGGCTCAGGCCGAGGCCCCGTGGACTGCACGGCATCTATTCCACGTCCGCGGGCGGCAGCGCCTCAGAACGCAACAGCAACAGAATGCAACAGACTGAAGATGCAGGAAGGAGGCCCTGCCCTGCATGCCTCCTCAACCGGCTGCCGAGCATCCTGCACAAAAAACTAAAGCTGGAAGCGACAACTCAAGTGCTTTCCTCAGCTTGCCGTTCCTGCTGGCAGGCAGCGCTACTAAGGCCGTCATCGGCAGGGCGCCCGACCAGGCGGCACCTCCCACCTCAAAGCAACAGTGGGCCCGCGTGCTACAAACGTGTCCATGGTGTCTGAGTTCGGGTCTGGCGTACACCGAGCTCCAAGAGCATCCGACTTGGGCTCCCGAAGTTCGCACGCATGGCCTGGCGAAACCCATTGCGTCGACGCGAACGCCAATTGGGAACGCATGGCACAAGACGTTAAGTTGCATGATACGAAGCCAACGAAGACAACCCGGCCGCGCCTGCAATTGCCGGCAAGACCTGGAACTCCGACATCGCGGGTGCTTTCTGCAACCATGTGGGCTTTTCGAACATTCCCGCCTCCATCCTGCGCCCGATGTGCCACGCTTGGGCCACACATGGCCACTCGGGAACCGGAATGGCAGCGCAAACATGCTTTTATAAGACTCTATAAGCCTCCTCGACCCTGAACACTTGCACCCAGACCGAAGCAGAGGTGCAGTGCTTGACGGTCCAGGAAGTCCATGTGCAAAAGCCTATCGCCCCCTGGCCTGACTGCTGCCGCTGCTCCTTGCCCTCGCTGGGACCGAGGCAGGCCGAGGCTTGGCAGCGGAGGCCATGCCACTGCGACCGCAGCTCCACAGCCTACCGGGATCATCCCGACATTGGATCTTTTTGGCACAAACGTGGAAGAAGGCAAGCCGGAATTCGGACACTTCTCAAAGTCAGCTTTGCCTGCTTCGCCGCGAATCCAGCGCCCAAAGCCGAGGCACCAGCCAGAACCTTGACCAAGGCGCCTCAGCGAAAATGGGAAGCATCGAAACAGAAAGGCAGAGCACATAGGAATAGGATGGTTCTGGGAGCCTGGCGGCAGTGCTTCAAGGGGGCCACAGCTGCCATGGCTGCGACTGTGCTCGAGCCCAACTACAGCGGCCGTCCCTGTCGCTGTGCCTCTGCTGCACATGCTTTGCAGCGGACTTCCCCCCTGTGCCAGCTCCCGGCGCCAAGTTTGTGCGCCCGGGTCGAGGGTCATTAGCACACAAGCGCCGTATTCGTACATCGATGTACCGCGTGTAAAGACTTGTGTTGTTTCTCTTGTCGCGGCAGGAATGACTCAAGTAATCGTACGCCTCAAACAACTGTATCCCCCTGACCAGCATGTGCGGTTTTTTTTGAAGCTCGGGGGCGAAGGACCGAGGCAAATCTCATCCAATGCCATGAGCTCCAATTCTTCTTAAAGAAAGGGCTGCAACATCATGCGCAGATAATCTTCTGAACAATCGGATTTGACGTACTATGACTTACTTGATCCAGTGAAAGGGATGATGTAATTATCACAGTGGTTAAGTTGGCAGATGTCAGTACATGGTCGTGGCCCCAGACAGTGCTTGCGACGGCTGCGACCCTTTGTGCCGGAATTAGCAACCACCCCCGGTTGTCGGACTGAACATGTGGCAAGCAGCGTTAGGGACGGAGTGGTGTCTGGCAGTCCGAGCACCGTCGCGATTTGATTGCATTCCTCGGCACAGCATGAAGGTTGTCAAGGCACGGCTCGGACTTTGCAGCGGCACAGAGCCTGTTCGTGGCATCCCATTGTCATATCTTCCCAGCCTTTAACTACAGACAAGCAGCAGATATGCCTCTTGCAGATGCACAGTTTCGACCAGCGAGTTGCTGATGCGAGCCTCACTCGACAGGATACTTTCCACATCTTCTTGCATGCGAGGGTCTCGGGTGGAAGATGCGATGCGGCCGCGTCTCAAAACTTAGGCTCGAGCGACAAGTCTGGTCCGAAACTGCTGCCACACCAGCAAGATCACAGACATCTGAGTGTTTCTGGTGAATGCGCCTCGCGTGCGAGTTAGTTTCGTCTCGGCGCAAAACGGTTGCAGCGAAAGCTATCATGCAGCCAGCAAGCTGCGTACCACAGCTTGGTGACGTCGTTGGACACCAGGATCTGGCTCCGCTGTCTGGCGTTGTGCAGCAGCCTCGCCTCTGCCCGTCGCAAACCATGCTGTCGTCACCTGGGTCCATTTCCCAACCCACCTGGCAGTAGCAACCATTCCGTGTCGGCGATCCTTGCGCCAGATGGCAAGTAGCTCTCCGGAAGTTGGGCTGCCAGCGAGATGCACGCCGCAAAAAGCAACACTGAGCGCTGTTGGGGTCACCCCGAACATGTGTGAAAAAGGTGAATCCAACACAGTTCCCCAGTCGCGCGCACATCACGCGGCACAATTCCCAGGCTACTTCTGGATCCATGGCAACATCCAGGTCGATTGGCATCCCAATAAGCTTTGGAACCTTGCAGGGCTCAGTAGTCCGCATTGCCTGCCGTTCCGCCACATGCAAGCTACTCCTTCGAGCATGCCAAGATGCAACGGAACTGGCCACCGCCGCCACAGAAGAGGCATTCATAGCAACGCAGTGCGGCCCTGCCGTGCCATTGCTAGGCCTGACAGTGGTACTATATGTCTCACTGGTTCGCGTGCTGTCCGCACGGACGGTCAAGTGAAGCTGGCATCCCTTGCAACTTCAAGTACAAGTTTCGAGGGTTCTAGGCGTGCGGCTCAACCAGCCACGCGCCCTCGTGCACCTCCGAGGTCATCAGCAAACGATTGGTTCCGGCACAGCCTGCACGAAAGTGAGTTGCACATCATCATGGCAGCACTGAGGTCTCCCAGCGCCGATCCACAAACAGGCACTCACATCAAATCTGCAGGTGACCAACCCTGAACCGGTGACCTCAAGTCAAGCCGTTTTGCCCTCAGCTTTCCACGAATGTCGCACCCGAAACCTAGCAGGTCGAATAAAGTTGGTCGAACTTTTGAGGTTTCTTGTGCATCTCGGGAAGTCATTTACCTGTGCTGCTGTTCAAAAGTTCTAAACCCTGCCGAATTTCACTACGACATAATTCAAAAGAAATTAGGCCTCAACGGCTACGAATACTAGCAGCAATCAGAAAACAACTTCAAATGTACATGACAGGAACACACGCAGGGTCTCGCCACTCATGCAGTGCTGAGGTGTACGTCTCCGCGGCTGGAACTGTGGCAGGAACCCTCCCAGTCTTCCCCAAGATGCTCCTATATCCCAAAGCACAGCTTCACTATGCCACAGGACGGGAACATATCTGCAAGGACCCCAATCCGTCTTGACATGCAGACAGGCCCCACTGAAACAGACGCGGTACGTGGCTGGAACTTGGTGAATATGCACGGCTGTCTACACTTACTGCAAAGCCAAGATTTCCCGAAACAGCACAATTTTCATTAAATTAAACGTCGTAGCAATGGAACGCTTAGCATCACCACTAGAAATACGAACAACCTATTCTCAATCTGTGCCATGTTGGCGGTGGCTTGCCCGATGACGTTTCACACGACAGCGACTTGCCGAAGCTTCGAAGCGGCTTGACAAAGACCCTCTGACACCGAACATGCCGTAATACACCGCATCCCAGCATACGCCCCACCAATCTAAACACCGAGTGGCGCGTGTTCTCTTCCACAGCCCAACAAACTTGCGTGGAACCTCAGGCTTTGATCGAACCCTCGTCTCGATGTCTAGGTTCACTCAAAGTCGCACCCGCTCGATTTCGTAGAGTTCTGCCGAGTCACATGGCTCAGAAGAGTGGGGCTCCTCGGAATGGAGCATCGGTAAACTCAAAAGCTTCAAATCAGACAAGCGGCGCTGAAGCATACGCATCGCCGGCATCTTGACAATCAGAATCTGCTAGCCACCACAGCAATAAAACCACTTGCACACCGTACAACGCGCTGTTTCTCTTTCACATGTTTTTGGCTGAGCCTGCCTTTTAATTACAAGGAATCTGGCCCGGTTCCAGCCTCCAGGTTTGCCTGGCGACAGTAGAGGGGTTCAACTTCACGGCTTCCTGTAGCACCTGCGATTGGGCTCCGACACCGCTTGGCGGCAATCATCTTCGCATCCACACTAATGATCAATTACGTATCACTCAGGGCACTAGCAATCATGAGCAATAGCAGCATGCCAAAACATGGCTGTCCGCACGCAGACCTTCAGCTTTGAACATTTCAACAAGCAAACACACACACACACAAGCTGATCGACTGATGACTGCGGGCATGCTACAATGCTACTTCAACATGCCATTCCGAGTGCACTGCCAGTGCTAGTGGCAACACAAACACACACCACAGACACACACACACACATTGGTATACATACCGCCATGTGCATCAATAGCCTTGCCAAAGAAACAAAAGGCTAGGCACTGCTTAATTCGAATGTGCAAAGGGCCGTTCGTGAGACAGGCATGTGCCCTTTGCTGTGGCCTGAGAAGTCAGCACTGTCTGCATGCAGGGCAATCCCAATCAGCTCGTGGCACACCACACGACGGTATCTCATCTGCTGTCCTTTCTTTGGCAGACAGGCTTCAATTGGAGGCTTTGCAAGGCGATGTCATGGAGAGGGCAGGTGCAACAGGACCCCGATAGGCTCACAAAACTCCTGCCGAGCAGCCACAAGATCGGCTGCAGGCGCTCCAATCGCCTTGCGACCATGTGTAAATCCGGCTCGGCCGAGGCTCGCCGCAACGGCACAGCTGCGGAATCCGCTCCGTAGCTTCGGCACCTCGCCCAAGGATTTTATTCAGCCACAGGACGGGGAAGCCATTGTCAGCCGTCGCAAATTCCCAAGAGCAGAATACAGGAAGATTGTCAGAGAGACGCAATTGTGCAGATGCAGCCGAACCACCACTGCCAGTGAAGCCCATAGCAGCTGCAGCTCGCTCACACTCCTCTCGACCCTCTATCGGGGAACACCGAACATCTTCACAGAAACCGGCCATCACCAGGGCCAAGCCGGGTGATTCTTCTGTTGTGGTGCAGGGAGACGGTGGCGGAATTGCATCTTCGGGACAGCTGCCAGGCACACAGCATCGACCGAATACCCCTTCTGATGCGTCTGGACACGTGAGGTGCGTCGTTGAGGCGCGGCACATTTCTTCGGTTGTACCGAGCAGCATGAGATCCAAGGAACAGCTTTGACTACTCTGCTGGGCCTGATCCAGTGAGACCAAAGTGGGCACACCCTGTGCCACACCGAAGGCTGGGCTCTGTTCGCCTCCGTGGTATGGATCCGCCAGCACATACCCTGCCGCCGCCACCCGCTTCAAGTGGAAAGTTGCTTGCATGCGAAACTGAAAGGTGCCATCATCCTGGGACAGCATCAGGTCCTGGAAGCTTCGGAAATGCTCGGAGAACCTCCGCACCACATATTTGCCTGTGCTGCAACTGACCAGTGAAACACACGCCTTGGCTGCAAAGAGTTTCTTCAATGACTTGCCAGCAATCTTCCCGCGTGTTAGCACGGTCATCAAGTTTCTCGCTGCGAGGCAAGATTCCATCGACAATGCCAAGTCTGCTGGAAGCACACTGAAGGTGGCGCTGCAGCTTACCTCCGCTTCCCCCCGTCGAAGCCTGAGTGTAAAAAAAGGGTTGGGAAACCAAGCTTCGGACCACAAGCAGAAGCTGCTTCGCGGCCATCAGATTTGTGGGTTCGCGTTCCGGCTTATTGCATGAGCAAGAAATAGCAAGAAGACGGGAAAAAACGTTCAGGTTTGGGCCCCAGCATAAGATGTCCAGAGCCCGGACTCCGACCGCAAGGTACAGCACTCCGGCAAGCGGAGGCGGTTGCGTATATGAAACACGGAAAACCGCCTCTTCAACACTCAAACCCAGCAATGCAGCGAAACATGAACAACTCCAGAGAAACCTGAGTTGCAGTGGCCGCCCAGTGTCGTCCACAAAGACCGAGTCAGAATTGGAGTACATGACAATGGCCTCAGACTCTAGCACCGTGTCCAGGACTTGCCACTTGCCAGAGTTGACGTCACTTCTCCCTGTCTCCGTGACAAGCTGCACTCCAATTAATATCGGCATCTTGTCGGTCCAGAGCTAAGTGTGCAATTGAAAAGCAGTCATCACCTGAGCTCTTGCGCTGCAGACATGGTTTTGTTCTTGCCATCCCGAGCATCCATTGACTACGCAGAGACGGTTTTGCTACGACGTGCTGTGGCGGAGGCCCCGATGCTCCAAATGCTGTGTCATTGTCAAGACACAGGCTTCCGGCGGAATGCACTCGGGAGCCTGACCAAAGCTGAAGACTACGCTGTCTGCCTACACATTACAGCATGTGGAGGCCTCCTGGCACGACCGTACGGATTCAGGAGCTGGCTCTGCGCAACGCTCGCCACCATCACCCACATCGTCTGGATCAAAAACCCTGCATCGCACCTGCTTACAGCGCTTCGCGGCCAGAGTTCGTTTTCCAGAGATGGAAAACAGCGACTCGTTTTCAAAGGTGACAAAGCCTGACACTGCCCCATTGCATGTGGCATCTGTATCTTTGCCAAGGGGCAGATCGATTGGTCGTGGCAGCTGGCGTAACACAGTCCGCTTGATCACACCTTCCCCAATCTCCCATCACCCAAGAAGCGCTGGCCTGGGCCGGGCGAACGTGGTTTCCCTAACTGGAAAAGAGTGCGTCTCCTGGCCTGCGGCTCGAAAGTCATGCGCACCAGGGTGCCATACCTTCGCTGATCTTTCAGCTTTTTGTGTCTCTAGCTGGGGCGTAAAAGCCTCTGGGGAACTTCGCATCAAGTCCCGAGAGAAGTTCACTGTAGCAGTCCACATCACCCCGCGTGCTGACCGCGCATTTGCAAGTGTCACCTGGGAATACTGCTACAATTGCAGCTGCTTGTTTCATCTGGCACTAGCAGGACCAGAGTGGAGTTTAACCATCAAGTCACGGGTGCGGAATGCCTGCACCTCAACACGGACTTCAGAATCGACCACACGGCCAAAATTGATGTTTCCACACTCCTCGAATGCCGCACCAGACACATGCATGTCCACGGTGGCACATGCACAAGCGAACTGACGACATCTCTTGCAGGCCAGGATCTACCAAAGAGCAGTTGTAGTCGGAAGCGACTTTCGGGCTGCAGGTCACACTCTGTCCTCCTACCTCAGCTGAAAGAGATCAGATAGGCTGCGGCTAGGTGTTAGTGTCTTAGCGTGAGACTTGGTCTTAATCAGGCCGTCTAGCTGACCCCAGAGTAGACTTCGGGGAAAGCCTCTCACTACAACAGGAGCGAGGGAGGGAGCGTGCCTTCACGTTGACATGCTCATCTTTGGAATGCATGTCCACTTGGGCCACCTCAACTTTCACCTGACGCCGAGAAGAGCTGGAGGGACCAGCTACAGGCAGTCTGTGGATCTGCGGGTATTGGCATTAGCAGATTAGCATTGGCACAGCATCTCTCAGGAGGCAAAGCTGCTCGCTGTTCCCAACTATGCTTGGTTGACTATGATTGACTTCGCCTTGTAGAACACATTGGGAGGAACCACAACATCGCGCTTCTCCACGCAGCTCGGCTCGCAGCTACCCTCATGGCCAACCACACCAACGAGGGTCCGATACCTGGCATCTCGTGGAAAGCAGATTTGGTTTCCCTGAGCGACGTGAGGCCCATGAGTGCTTGCACCGCGCCTCTCTTCACCGTCCCTCCAGAGAACGAGTTTGGCGGAAGAAACATGCTCGCACACCAATACCACCAGCAGCCAGATAAGCACCACTGCTCGGGAAGAAGCCTCCGGAGCATGCATTGCGGAGTCACACACCTGCAACGATGCCTGTACGAATGACAGCATTCAAAATCTAACACGGGCTCACAAACAAAACTGCCGCCAAACATGGTTGGATATGACTGGCCGCGGAACCACGGAACTCATGGCCAGCGCCGGCCATGCTCTGCCATTGAGGCAGTTTGTGTTGTCCTGCGTCCCAAGGCCAGATGCCAAACATGTGCGCCACGTGTGAAGCGGAAGGACGACTCAAGCCAAGCCACGTGGGGGTGTGGGATCACACCCGAGAAAGTTGTGAAACGAGTAACCTGCTACAGGGTCCTGTTGAAGCCCGAATGCCGGCAGAGTCTCAAAACATGCTCTCGAAGGCTGCTGGCAACGACTTGCACAAAGTCAGTTGAGAGCATTGCCCCACATGTTCTACACTTACTTATCTAATGGTGTTCCAGCGACTTGCCCTACCCACTAACTCATTCTACCATTGCTCCGCAGCCGTGCCTAAACTGTACGTAACGTGTACCGCAGCAAGCACCGCACCACGACCGATCTGAGCTTTTCTGCTTTCTCGAGGAGTGAAGCTCCGCCAAACCGTGGCAGCGCCTTGAATCGGAGGATGGGCACGAGTCCAGTGGGCGCATGTTCGCATGACAACCACACACACACACACACACGCACACGTGCATACAGCATCCTTTCTGGGTTGACCTTCTGCCCGAGGCTATGTAGATAGATGGCAGACAGAGCAAGGGACAGAGCCAGAGACAGAGAAGCAGAGAGAGAGAGGGACAGAGACCGACACTGACAGAGACATAAACATAGACATGTATACAAGGGGGGATAGAGAGATAACGACAAAGAGTGCGGAAGTGTCAGCAAAAAGGAAAGCACAGGTGCCTTGGGCGGTTCGCCCAGGCAAGCGCTGCGAAGGTCTGCGCGTAAGCCGCCACCACCCGCACGCAGGCGCTTTAGCGCCTGCGGCGAAAACTTGAGGACGCCAACACTTCGGGTAAGGATCAAATCCCGAATAGCTCTCTGCCTAAACCGTGCTTTCGGGTAAGGCCAGTGCTTACACACAGGACTGCACTTGTCACACATGTCACACCTTGTCGTCCGAGTCCGCAGTAATGGCCTGGCAATGGCCAACCAGTCGGCAGCACGCCCGGAACTCCTCGAGGCCAAGGTTTGCCCCGAGGTGTGGGTTGGCCACCTGCCAGATCTCCCGCAAGGCGCGCCGCGGCAGCCCAGACTGTGCTATGAAGTCGGACTGCTGCGCCGCGACTGGATCCATGTCATCTGTAGTGTCTTGAGGATGACTTTTCGCCTTCGTCTCCAGCTCTGCGTAGAGAGCATCGTACAGCTGCAGCTCATCTTCGGTCCAATTGGTCGGTAGGTTGGTTCCGAAAAACCCAGAGGAGGTTTTACACATCATTCTTTTTTCCTCCATAGGTGTAGACATGTCCCTAGAAACAGTTACACTTGAACCAGCTGGTAAGGGTGCTTCGGGTGGTCTTGAGACCCATCTCAGCTCCGGATGCCCAAGTGGTAGCGTCTTCCTGGGTAGTGCCCATGCAGTGGCGTTGGATTCAAAATGCTAGGGCATGAAGACTGGGCTACACTGCTACACGTTCATGCCAAGGGACTTGCACCAGTCGTTTGCACGAGCATGTGGAAGCTGAAAGGCAATCATGACTTCGGCCCTTGAAGCACAGGCTCGCTTGTAGCTGAAGCTCGTGCATGTTCTGAGAGGAGAGACTAGAATGACTAGATAAGAAGGAAAGCTTGCTGCATTGTCGATGCCTCCCCACTCGCTCCACGAAGCCAGGGCACCAACCTAGTTCAGATCGTGGCAGCTGTAGGGCTGATATTTGCAACCCCTTGCCCACACCGTGACTTCAAAAGCGTCCTGCGGCACACATTATGACAGTGCGGGTCGGCACATGTTGGGAAACGACACGCGTTTACTGCCACCGAGCAGCTGCGGACAGAGTTGCTAAACACCTCGACCCTTTCACCGACCCAGGGCTTGGGTCTACTGCTTGCCTTGGGTGACATGCGCGGCGAGGCTCGAACCAGAAACTGTGCGCAAGGTCGAGGTCATCGGCTGAAATGCGGCAGGCCACTTCAGAAGCAGAGGCTGTCGCAACACCCGGAGGCATGCGACGAATCTCTTTCGTGCGCTGGTGGTAGTAGTAACCTTACCCGCTGCAATACCACAACCCCAGCTCTCCTCCTACGACCATCCTATTTCACTCTTCTTTGTTTATTAATTCTCTGCTGTACAGGCGCGGTTGCCATCTGGTGTTGTGGTGGATCGCCAGCCTGGCTACAGCCGAACTGCTCCAAGTCGAGCGACAAATAACTCATGCTGTGCACACATCCTGCAGCTAAGCCTATAATTATCTAGTAAGCTCGCCCAAGCTGCCAGATGGACTTGCATCCTCGCCCCCTTCGTCACCTATGCAAGGCATGCGACTAGCATGTACACCATTCTTGCACACGGGCTCCGTCAGGCTATGCCGGTAGCTCCTCTCCCTTACCTGGCACTGGCTGAAAGTCACCAAGCACCCTCCCGAAATAAATCAAACCGCAGGACTTAATTAATGGTGAAAACCATGCCATAATGATGCCATACATGCACGTAGGAATTTGCGCCGTCAAGCACCACAATTAAGCAAACTTTGTCTCGCAACACCTACTGTACACATGGACAATAACACATACTTCCTTGTCAAACTCTCAAGTTCCGCAGGATTTAATTTACATCTACATCTACTGTACCCACCAGGAGTTGGGAGGGAATGATAACGTCCAATAATCCTGATGAGCAGTTTTCGAGAAACAGCCCCGGAAAGCACGGCTGCTGCAGAGTCACCAGTCTCAGCCGATACCTGAGTTGACCGCTGCAAGCTCTCCATTTATCGCTTTCTTTTTCCACACAGCCAAGAGAGGGCAGTTGCCTACCCGCCACCCCACTCCCCCCCTCCGCAAAAGCGCACGCTCGCGCCCTGGTTCGAAGGTCCGGCATGATGAAAGCTCCCACACCCTGTACGAGCTCTAGTAAACCAGCTCTGTCCGCCTTCTCGCGGCTTGTTGCTCGCTCAAGCAGCATACAGCACACACCCCCTATCGCTCCTAGCATCATCGGATCGACGGCTTGTCCTCGAGGGTACCGCACCGAATAAACCCTGCAGCTACTCACCTCTCTGTCTCGCCCTCTCCCTCGCTCTTTGGCTCACTTCGTCGAAACCTACTTCTGCTTCAGGCTTGCTACGAATCGACATGAAAAAGAGCTCATGCTGACCAGCAAGACAAGAAGGCACCGCGCAGTCCAAGGGCGAGCAAGGCACGTGACCGCCAGATCTGTAGCTTGGCTCGAAGCGAAGCTCCTTCAGGGATTCCTTTTTTTTGCAAACCCCGAAAGTGTAAGGCTGCGTGCCCGGAACAACTTCCCTACAATGCTGATCGAGCCCGGAACTTCACCAGAACCAACTCAGAGCATGTCTCTAGCAGCTTTCAAGTCACTGAAGTTGGAAACCCCCGGCCCAGCACTGACTGCTCAAGCCGATCCTGCACGGAGCTCTTGAATCTCAGGCCACCCTCGCCTAATCCAGCACCTTGGCACGGGGCATCTTGCGAAAAGTATCGTGCCACAAAGCAGCCGGAGTAATCACGGCCAAACTTACTATAAATTTACAAGCAGGAGCAATGTTTTCAGAAATCAACTGCAGTTTGTAGGAGATCTGCTCGAGAGCTGTGCTGACAAACGTTGCCCACTGGTTCAGGTAACTTGGCTCGGGCCAACCCCGCATTAGGGTTGCTGGAACACAACACTCAACCAGTAGATCTGCACTAAGTCTCAGGAGAAGCGCTCAGAATGCTACCAGTACATCCCCGGACGAAAGCTTCGACCCCGCTGAGAAGCGGAGCCGGCACTCAACGGCCCCAAATGCAGCCGGGCCCGGATCAAGAATATACACACGCAAAAAGTTCCGGCAGAGGAAGCAGCTGTAAGATGAGTCTGTGGGGAAGAGGCCAGAGCACCAGCGGACTTCGCAAACTGCAATTAACTTTTTTGAAGCACGCACTCGGACAATGCCGGGTAAGGTCTGATGACGATACAAGCGCATCACGATAACTAGTCATCAACCAGGTTCGCCAGGCAACTCAGCTGTCAAATGAGTGTCAAAATGACGCCAGTTTACTTTTACTTACCGACCCGACCCGCTGGTTTCGCATGGAGAACCCCCCAAGCTGTAGGTCGGTGCAGCACGGATACGAAAATACACTACTATAATCGGCAGCGGATTTATCAGCCAAGAGACGAACACGATCGAGCTCTTTCCTGATTTTGTGGGACAGGCACAGGATATGGTATGTGGTATGTCAAGGCGAAGTTCTGAGCCGCTCGTGTGCTCTAGCAGGCAAGTCCAACAAACCGAGAATCCGAACTTGGCCAGCATCCTGCAACAGCTTTGATGCTTGCTCGTGGGCCAAGTCCACAGCTGTTTGTGGAAGCTGCGCTAGGAGCACATCCTTGGAGCCAACAATCACGCAAGCTCTCCGGCGGCTTTCTGCGAATCTGCACACCGACAGATTGCAGGAAGCCGACACCCTTGACCCTTGCAGATTTATCTACAACTGCCGTGACTGCCGTGCTGCGTTTTGAACTCCGAGGACGGCCTGCTGCTCGCTTGTGAGCTGAAGGACAAGATCCTGCATCACCTTTCAGCTGGGCCGATACGCTCAGATCTATAGTCTATAGTCTAAAGATTTCTACCGACACGCACCATCATGACACCTGTGCTTCAACTGCGAAGACTAATTTCCAGGCTGAGAAACTTCCTGGAGGGCAGCAACCCAGTCGTCGGAGGTGAGCAAAATGTTGATCACCTCGTCAGGCTGGTCAGCTGTTCAGGCTGTCTCAACTTGCATGATTCCAGGGCCGGGAGAACGGTGCTCTAGAGCTGCCAGGACGGCACGGAGCCTCTGCCACTTGAAGGATATGATCTGGTCTCTGCACAACGAAGTCAATCAGGAAGCCCAGCACAGGCCCTGTCCAACACGTCTCGAATGTACAACAACCGAAATCCAACGAGTGCAAAGTATGAACGCATGACGACAACTGCGACAAACACGGCATTGAGAAATATGGGCAGGTGCAGAAACCAATGCGGAAATGTGCATCCTGCTGTGGTGCGCCACAAAGCTATCTCCACAGGCGTGGTGCTAGCAGTCACTCGCCATGCACCTGCCTTGAATCTACAATACATTTTGAGATCGACGGAATTGAAATGGAGGGGATGTGCATTCAGTCAGCACCGCGTGCCCGCATGCTCAGCTGCTCTGTCAACGGCACCAGGTGAGCGCAAGGATTTCAAGCATCCTTTCCTTAGAACGGGCACTCGTCGGTTTCCAGGCATGCAGTGAGCCCGTGATTGCGTGATGGAGGCCGACATACCTTTTTAACCCACAAGTCACAAGGCAACTAGACAATTACAAGGACAAGCTTGTACAGCAGGGCGCACAAGTGATTTGTCAACCGCAAAGTTCGCCGCACGAAATTGAATGAAAGTGACCAGAAACATGTCTCTGCACAGATACTGACGTGGTACTGCTACGCTTGTTTGTTCAGCAGCCCTCTCCAAGCAAAGCATCTTGAGAAGAACCAGAAGCGCGCCGAGATCGCAGCTGCGGACAGCATCCTGCACAGAGCTTTGGTGCAGTAACCTCAGCAGGGACGGCACCTCGCATTATAACAGAACACCTCCGGAGTTCTGGACAGAACACCACCCACAGTGCTCATATGCAGAATCTTCGGCGGCACTTTCCAAGCCCAAGTCACACGGCATTCACTGCCTCCAGCAATGCAGCATCTGCAGAGGCTTGATGCCCATCTCTTCCACGCGTGGGTACCAAGCCTTAGCAAGCTTTGGACCTTAAGGGTACTGCCGATCCTGCATCCATCTAATACAGAGTCAGGGTGAGTCATTGCTAAACAACATGAGCCTCACATCTGATGTTCAGCACAGTTTCAGGAAGCTGATGCTGTCCAGCCGAGCTGTCCCTGAGCAGTAGCTTAGCTTGCGCATGTTTCGACCAAAACCACAAAAGCACTACACAGATGCACAGATATCAAAGCGCCAAGAATCCAAAGAGGAGTGGTCCGCCTGCAATTCCTCGCTAGGCCCCTCCATGCGGTAACCCTACTGCACCAGAAATGGAGGACTGCCCAAACAAAGATGTTGTAACGTAGTGCCAGCTACGGTTTCTGCACTGGTTTCTGCATACGCGTCGTCCGGAGGCTGTTTCTACCGCTTCCCCTGATTCCATAAGCATACGGACACCACGGCATGCACCCCCTGCTAGACCACAACGCCTGCAGCATGCAGATTTCAATGTGGTCACGGCTCGTGGAAGATAAACAATCGCAACAGCAAAGCCTTCCCCGTGCATCAAAGGAACTGTTTGCGTTTGTTGGAATATCCCCTAAGCAAGCGTCCACACACAACTGCACGGCGCCACCGGCCACAAGAAGCGATTCGAATTTGGTGCATTACTGCTCGGGCAGATACTTCGACCCCGCTGCCTCGCTGGGTCAAGAAGCTGAACAGTTCTTACTGGAAAACATGACTATTTCAAAAAACACTGTCGTAACCTGCTCATCACAGTGGGGATCCAAAGCCCCTGCAGGATACAAAGCTCGATCTTGTCAAATGCCGCCGAGGCGGTGAAATCTTTGAAATACAAAAGCTGTAGCTTTCGTCCTCAGTGCCAGTACGTCCACTCGTTGTCTTCTTGGTAAGGCATGCCACCGCTCGCCGCCGGTATTGCTAAATCACGTGGCACCCAGTCTTCACCCATTGAGGGCAACAGGGCTCCAATGATGTGTTTCCTTAGACTTGTCTTGAGGCAATGCTAGCGGCGCCTTTGGTGCGGACTACTTTTTGCTGCAAAGCCACTGCCACGTGCAATGGTCCACCTTTGTCTGCGCTGACCCCAGCCGGTCCAGCATGGCTCTGTGCCGATCAACTCCAACAGGACTTGCACGCCACACTGTGAATTCGTTGATCGGGTTGAACTCCACGAACCTTTGCGGCTCAGATACACGCGGTTGCTTTTGCACTGCTTGGTTGCCCAACGTACCCGTCGCGTCCCGTTGCTTGAGCTACAGCTTACCCTGCTAATTGAAAGAGAAAATATGAGAGCGACGAGATGCCGCCAAGAGACACGGCCCGCATCTCCAAGCCATCTCGCGTGGGCACGGCGGCACGCCCTGCACTTACGAGCTGGTTGACGGAGGAAAAGCCTTGGCAGCAGGCTGGGAGCACCACTTGACGACGCAATTCCGGCTGGAACCACTCAAGCCTCGGAAACACCGCCCGATCTGAATCCGTGCCTGGGTAGATGTGGATCTCGGGCACAAGACAGTGCCAAGAAGATTGAAGCTTCTGCGCTGTATCCACCTGCAGCGGCATTCCTTTCGTAACCACCCTGTCTTTGTCAGGTTTGTACAACTGGCCAGAACAATCACAGTAATTAGACATGCGCATGCCCGCCGTGACCCTCGCACGGGCAAGGCCTGCGTGGACAAACGCCACAACGTGAGCTGGCATGTCTCTCGGTTCCTTCATCCCATGAGGCTGTGGGTCGTTAGCACACCCCTTCTTGCATCTAAGAGTTTCAGCATCCAGTCCTGGCAACTATGAGTAGGTCCGAAGCATCGGCGTCAAATACATCAATGATCTGGCATCGCAGACCTGTAGGACCAAAGAATGATCTACTTGGGTTGAAGTTCGCTTCTGTTTGTTGGGTGTTGCAAGTGCGGAGCTGTGAGGACTTGAGAGATGGGACCGTGAAGAAACTGACCTACGAAAACCAAGTCCAAATCTAGGATTCGTATGGTTTTGTCAGTCTCTGGAGCTCGAGTCACCCGTAACATACGTAACACTCCGGCAACTACGGGCCTGGAGGCCCTGCGGAGACTCGGGCGCCGATGGGATGACATCGCTCCAGCTGATGAGGATCACGGTCACCATCAGCCCTGGCCCAGGATAGGCCTCCATCCTGCGAAATTTTCGGGGATTCGAACCAAAACCAAAGCTCCCGAGAGCTGCGAGAAAAGTGTGAAAACACGCCACCGATCATCACGGTGCCAACGCTACAACTGATGCAATAAAAATTGTGTCATGGACTACCCGATCCTTGGAAACCCAAACTCTTGTGGACATTGTGACAGCCACGAGGGCATCGTTGCAAGCGCGCACGATGGACACCTGGGTAGTGCATGCCAGATGACGAATGGCAAACAGGAATCCTGTGCCTCACCGCACATGTGTCCACTTCTCAACTATCTGCTCGTAACAAGTTTTGCTGCCCGCGGCGCTTGCTCCTGTGGCCAACCAAAAGGAAGCCTCTCGACCACTTTGCACCACGATCGCCCCCAATCAAAGCTGCGCCACAACGAGCCCGTCGAGTCAAACACGAGGAGGAATCCTGCCATCAACACGTCTGGCACGAGCCTGCTCCTGTTCGGCGCCGGCCTCCTCCAGTGCAATCTGGAACCTTACCGACATGTACGATGCACGGAAGCTCAAAACGTGTTCCTAGCTCAAGCGCATGTCTCACTTGTTGGGGGGCGTCGCAGCACAAAGTTTCAGCAACATCCTTCAAGCATCGTGCTTGCAGCATGTGCTCAGTCATACCTAACCAAACAGAGCTTCAGCCAGTTGCTGCCGACGGCACCCAGAGGGCATGAGCAGCTTCGAGCCATGCAGCCTCATCAGTTGACTGGCTCCAGCTTACCGGCCGAAACCTGCACGGCACCACTGTTCTGTCGCCTGGAAGGTGCATTGGGCAGATGTCTCGGGCCTCGGGGCATCTGCTTTCCAAACTTCTCGCAACGGCTTGGCATTGATGCCGGTGCCACCCACCAGTAGCACACAACCTGGCAACAGCAAGGATTTGTCGCTCCAGGTCTCGGTCTGGGGATATGAACATAGCCTACGCAAGTGCAACGAAGTTTCCAGCACGATCCGTTCCCGCATCACTGACAACCACCGGCAAAGAGCCGCGACGCGGCTGCCAAGACGGTTCAGGCAAGCATTCCCACGTTCTCGTGTCCACGTCGAAACGCCAGACATCGTTCAGGCACACGCCTACCAAGCACCGAGAGTCTCAAATTATGTCCACACACTCGAAACATTCCAGCAAGCCAGCTGGGTGCCTCCGATGATGTGGCCCTCGATCCCACCCATAACTAGAACCTTAGGCATGTCCGGTTGCACATGGACGGAGCCTGCACTGCACTCCACAAGTCGGCCTCTAAGGTTATGGCAGCAGAGCAGTCAGACGCTGTGGCAACGGTGGCTCCAAATCTAGCCAATGGCCGGCTCTCTTTTGCACGCGAAATCATGACCAACCGCTGGCCAGACCTGACTGAAGCCACACATTTTCCAAAAACAAGCAAAGTCCACGGTGTGCTCAGATATATATATATATATATATTCAAAACTTGTCTGGCAACCTCTGATCTGGGGTCCGCACCACAGTTCGACTGTCTCCCCGGCTAACCGCATGGCTGCGAAAGGTTCGATCGGAAATGTTAGTGTGTAATCCTCGTTCAGAAACACTTTTCCATGCCGTGACATTTTGCAACCCGATGACCCGATATCGCGCATCGGTATGTTGATGCGTAATAGTCTGTTCTGGCATCAGGACTCGTGCAACCGCTCTGAGCATAAGGAGCTTTAGCTCTCGTGACTGCACCTTGTTCTCGAGCAGGGACTGCAATGGACAAAGCCCTGAATCGCTGCAGCCATGCTCCAAGACTCCTTGGCTTTGCTGTGCTTGAATCTGCCTGCTTCCATCAACTGATCATGAACTCCAGGTTCTGCGGCGTGTTGTGGGGCAGTGACTCCTGTCACCCCCTGACTCTGGAATTTTGTGTCAATGTCTCTGCGACAGTGTTCAATTTCGTTGACACACGGTTTTTGCGTTCAAGGCTGAAAAAGTGTTTCGATTTCAATCTCCCCCTTTTACGCCTACGGGCCGGGTTCAAGCGCCTTGCATGGGTAGGTGACATGATGAGCCAACACATCAAAAGCCGGGTGTGCAGGTACTGCCGTGCCGTGCGCCAGCGAGGAACCCCCAACTGCCGCCGGACTGCCGCTCGCTCCATTGCTGCTCCCAGGCCAGTGCTGCTCATCCGACACCCACCCTTGCTGGTGCCCCCTGCTTTGGTCCCGCCAGGCCCGGGTCCCTGACATTTTTTTTCTCTCGCACCTTTTTCCGACTGGTCCGCCTGCGCGTCGGCGGAGCTAGCTGCCAGCTACAGGGCACCTACGGCGGCTCCGCCGGGAGCTCTCCCAGCGGCAGCTCTGCACCGTCGCTGGCGTCGCAGGTCGGCAGCTCCAGCAGATCCCGGCCGTCTGCCTGAGCACACGCGTTTACGAGGTGAGCCTCCCGCCACTGTGCTAGTGGCCAGCTCCAAAAACCTATCCTTGGCCCATGGGGGCATTCTTCCCTCGTCAAGGGCATACTTTGTCTTCGCCAGGTGGTCCGGAGCTGGCTTCCTGCCGGACAGATCGTATCCTCCTTGGCCTTTCTGCTTGCGGCCTTTCGCTACTCCCGACGGCACGACCGCATCATAGTGCCAGTCCTTGCTGAACGAAATTGTAACCGTTTTCAACCTTATCCTAAACAATGAGGTTAAAAAGCATTTGCTGAGCCCTACTATGAACTTTATCCTACCTAAAATAGTTTCCAAACTTTAACCGTTTTCAACCTTATCCTAAACAATGAAATCAAAAAACACGAACTGCTAGGTAACATCAGCCTAAGGGCTTGGATGTTGCATACTTCCAGGACCTTCACTGGGTTCTCGTTGTTCCACGGCACGATTTGATGGTCCAGGCAGTAGTCCCTGTGCAGCGAGTAGACATAGACCGAGAATACGCGGATGCCCACCTGCAAGTAGTCCGACATTGCCTGGAGTGTAATGTGGCCAGGTTCCGTCCACCAGTACACCGGCGACATATGTTTCCCAGTCCCCCTCAGCTTCAGTGAGGTAGGCCTTCAGCGGCTTCTGAATTGAACCCTAAACCTCAAAGCGGTCGAACTCCGCCCCGCTCACCAGTTGCTGGTAGGTTTTCACGCGGAGCTCCAGGATGTTCTGGGCGACATGAACGTTCTGCCTGACTCCCGAGGCGAGCAGGGACTTGTATTGGCAGTCCCCGTCGCCTGGTACGACTTTACGTTTTGCTTGACATTTGCCAGCGCCCGAAGCAAAACCAAAATCTATGGGCCGGCCCTGGGCCGGCCCGGAGGCCCAGGGTCCTCGGGTTGGAGCATCGAGCGACCATGCAAATGGTCAGCAGCGCTCTCGGCAATTTGGGTATATGTGTTTACATATAATATTATAAAAATATATGTGTGTGTGTATGTATACACTCTACAAATACTTTCCCTCTCTTGTGTAAGAACTAGCTTACATACTTCGGAACTTCGCTGGCTCTTTGTACGGACGGCAACAGGTGCGAGCAAAAGAAAAACTTCAGAGCTTCACTGACGTTCTGAAGCTCCTGACGCCTCGAGCTTCGGAGCTCTGCTAGCGCGCTGAAGCTCCCGACGCCTGGAGCGTCGGAGCTTCGTAGAGGCGCTGGAGCTCCTGACTTCGGAACTTCACTGGCGACTGGCACTTTGAAGCTCCTCATGCCTCCAGCTTCACATTGCGAGCTCCTGACGCCCCGAGTTTTTGACTTCTATGCGTCCCCCGTGCTGACGGACAGGAACCGCATTGAGACCACGCACAAAGACATGCATCGCGACAGTAGCGCCCGCCTCCCGGCACACTTTGGCAGCCGCTTTTTTTTATTATTTTTTTCCGCCTGCAGGAAAGTGTCACAACTACGCCGGGCCTACTACTTCGCCAGCGCGCGGTCCCGGTTTACGGCCGCAGAGCGCCAGGCCTTTCGTTGTTGGCGAGGTCGAGCGCGCGGTCCAGTGCTGGGCCGTCGCTCGGCCCTGGCAGTGGAGCAGCCGGCCACGCGCGGCCCAAGGCTGTGCCCGCAAGGGCTCCCCACCACCGCCTTGCCCAGCCAGTGGACGCCGGCGCGCACTGCTGGCGGTGCGCGGAGAGCCCGGAGCCGGACTAGGTCGCGAACGAAACACTGTGCAGCAGAGTTCCAGCGGCCTCCTATCTCGGAGCCCAGTACCACCAGCTTCTGCGGCCGCCCCTCGCGAGTTCAGGGTACGTGCAGT